AAGAAATCCTTAATAGCCCTTCTCGATATTTTGCGACAAAAAATAGTTCCAACAGAGCAACAAGCAACAAAAGGTTTTTGACAGATCTATCCATCGAAATCAAACCCTAAGCAAATATTTTACAAGGATGTAAGCGGGGTGCAAGCGATATTTCGAACACTCGTTGAACAAAATCCATTGAAACATGATACAAATTGGTATAGTTGAGTTCTAAGTACTCTTAAATAAAAATTATTTGAAAAAAAAAAACCTAATTACTTCTATCTTTCCTTTCTTTTGTTAAATAGTCCCAGTACCGAGCAATACGCAAAACAAGGTTTTGGTTTTACATAGACTTTACAATAGCGTACGGTTCTTATAGTGTCATTTTTATATAGGGTGCGGCAAAAAGGTAGGCAGAATTTCAAATAGTGGTTGTTCGGTTTGTAAAACCGGCAACACTGTGTACGCACTCGCGTTAGGCAGGCAAAAGTATGCAATTTTCAGTTATTGACATGGCTTGGAGCGGAGTGCATCGTGCTTTCGTTGTCGAGGAGTTTATTAAAAATGGGGAGGGAATCTGTAATAGCGACGGGTACAGTAAATAAACAAAATTTCCGTTATTTGTCAGTAAATAGTCCACAGGAACTTCACGAGCGACCTCTTCACAGTCCAAAAGTCACCGTCTGGTGTGCAATGTCGGAGTTCGGAGTGTGGGGTCCTTACTTTTTCGAAGAAGATGGAATAAGGGTAACAGTCAACGGAGATCGATATTTTGATACGCTTAACAATTTCCTGCGTCCAAAAGTGAACAAGTTGAACAACGATCAAAGAGAACATCTTTGGTTCCACCAGGATGGTGCTACATCGCACACAACACGTCGTTCACTATCTTCTTCAAAAAATGTTCCTAAACAGAGTGGTGTCATTACGGGGTGATCTTGGCTGGCCGCCACGTTCGCCTGATTTGTCGACTTGCGACTTTTTTCTTTGGGGTTACCTGAAAGCGAGAGTTTTCACACATCGTCCGCGGACTTTGGAAGAATTATAGGCAGCCGGCCATAAGGCAAGAAATTGCCTCAATTCCCCAAGAAATGATCCATCGGGTAATGATGCGCTTCCGTGAGAACCTACAAGAGTGCATCGACAATAATGGCCGTCATTTAAAAGACATCATTTTTTAAAAAACAACGTTCCTACATGGCATAAAATGTACATTTCACAAAATAATTTTAAAAAATGATCCCTTTATGTAGTTTGGCTTTTATTAACATCCCAAATAGTACCTATGATTTTGCCGCACCCTGTACTATAGGAGATTATAAAAAATGTCACTCCACGAGTCAAAATGAAAAAAAGGTGATCCCGAAATGTTTTTTGTGTATTTAAAATCCGCGAAGATTAACCAGCGGCTCCGTAAATGACGTAAATTGCCGGAAAAGAGGCGGTGACGCAACAAAATGAAATTCACTCTATTTATATTGTCGATCACGTATATATCCAAGACGTTTATACCATTAAATCGGTATTTTGAATCCCCTCCGATTACCATTTACGTTATTTATGCGAAGGCATGGCGTTTTTCCCGATCGCGTTTACTATTATTCCACGATCCTATTCGAATCCGACGATCAGTTTATGGGGCAATTGAAAAGAAACGGAGACCGATATAAAAAAAAATTAGCATTAATTCCACATCCGTTAACTGTTATGGGGTTAAATGCGAGACAAAAAAAAATGTTGCGCAAACTAGAACATTGAACTGCGGTACGGACAAAGGAGATACGGTAACGACGTGATGATTTTCGTGGTTTATTTTTATTCTATCGAGACGCAGCAAATGACACACCAATTAAAAAGCAGGATTTAATACAAAATGTTTTTAATGCTTTAATGCCAAATAGAACACAGGTATGGAGAGGTCCGTCGCGGTTTACATTACTGGGGTGCTTAATTATTTGGACTCACGAATTTTTCTTGGGTAGAAGAAATGGCCAGAGCATTGACGGCTTGCGGAAAAAAATGTAACGTGTTCTGCAATTCTTGCAAAAAAAAATTACCTTAAAAAAACATTAATGTTCATGACCCAAGTGCCCTTAAAAATCGAAGAATTTTTTAAGTAATCACTTAGAGTTGAAGCTAATTCAGCCGAAAAATTAGTCAGACCACGAATTATTCCGGGATTCTCGGAGAGCCAATTCAAAAGTTCAGAAAAATATAATACAATGAATAGTTTGTGATAAGATATATCTATTCTTTGACACATTGCGCAGAATAAGCAGAATCTAATTGAACTCTAATAATGTAAATTTTGTACAACCATGAATGTGGGGCTTTTAGGATTTTCATGTCTTTTTATTTTCAAATTTAAATGCTCTAGATCGGTCACCCCTATTTCCGTCCAAGCTTTATCGCCACCAAAAATGTAAACAAGGAAAATAATATAGAGCACTTTTTTTGTTACATCCACAAATCCATTCATTTTTCGAGTAAATTTCTTTTTTAAATTTGGTGTATAACTTTTTTCCCAACTTACATCAGCTTTTTCAATGGTAATAGCTGGTATAAATTTTTTTAATAGTCTTTCCTTCGAATTCGACACTATTAACCCTCTTCGACGTTGCACTGCGCTAGCAGCCGTCGATTTTCTTTGCTAAGAAAACTAAGTTAGCCCGGATAGAAATCCTTTTCCATATCTTGCATAAAGCAGAACGAAACGTGGGCCTCTTTTTGTAGGCGCTTTAACGCCTGTTGATAAACCCTTTATGTCTCTGCGATCCATGTTATTGTCACACCAAGGATAATTAATGCTATCATGCAAATTGATCCAACTCTAATCCAAATAAATGATTTAATAATTTGGTTGACGATATTTCTCGACCGACCTTAATTACCATTACAATTAATGAAATTAATGTTTTTGCGACCACGCTTCACATGTTCAAAACATATATCTTTCATGTTTCTTTTTTCCCGTTGGCAAAATGTTTTTGAAAAAAAAAATGAAAAATTTGTGTGAGTTACTCATCATATGTATAATCCACCAGAATTTCACTGACTTTTTCTTGGGGCAGGATTTTTAAATTCGCCATTATTCTGTTTCGCTTCTTTCCTGACGTTAAAAATGGTTTTCTCACCAACACAACTCACTTTTGAATCGCCAATCACAGCTGCAGTTAAACTCAAGTTTTCATCATTCACTAAACAGCGAGTGATATTAAAAAATCGTAATTTTCGCACTCGCATAGAGCACTTGCCTGGTTCGAATTTTTTGAATTCCATGTTAATGGTAAGAAATCGAACATAAAATAAAAGAAAAATTTCATATATGCCATAATGACGGACTTGCAAATTTCAATTATTAATATCTCATTAAACTAATCCAATATATCTGCCCCTAAACACTGATAATATTTAGCTTTTATTACCTATTTTACAAACAAATTCAAAACTTGTTATAATAACGAACTCCACACACACAAAAAAGTAGAAAGAACCAACCAAAACAAACAGAAATGAAAATTAAATATTAGTTATGCTCGATTCACCTAAGGAAAATAAACATAATACGTGCGCCTAATTTTCACCAAGAGTTAAAAATTGAAAATAAATACTGTGATATTTATATTTAATATATTATATTAATGTTCGGGGTTCGTGGTTTTGATCGAGAAATTATTTAAAACTTACACTGGCGGGAACGGAGGGAACAATATCTGAGCAGAAAATACAGGCTGTATGAGACTAGCTAACGCTGTTTTGCATTGCTTAAGTTTATGAATTATTTTTCAAACCTGCAAAATGCCCAAAATTAAAAAAATATATAAAAACAAATATTTTTTATTTCACAATGCAACATATATGTGTCGCAGCCGACTAACCTCACCAAAGTGATTTTTTTTTAATTACAACGACCTCAATTCAATTCAAGTATTCATTCAACTGTTACGTGACATTAGTAATAATGGAGAGCTTCCCCCACTTCATGGAGCTTTAGAAAGGAACATGCTCCCCCCGCCCCCTTCCTAATTGCTAATTTCACATCCAGTCGACTTAATATGACACAAAAATAGTAACTCGTTAATTTAAGTGAGAAAACCTAGTATGTGCAGTAATATAGTTGTTTCAATCATATCCGATCCACGCACGACTTAACAGCATTCAGGTTGGGATGGGACAGGTTGCTGTAAAAGGATAAAAGGAACTAACCGTTGCGTTGGATTAAGACTTCAAAGAAACACCACTCTATAGATGAAGATCCCTTCTTCACGAAGTAAGAATTCAATCTTCAAAATAGAAAATAACCTTTTGTTATTTTGAATGATAAGACGCAAGAGTTGAAATCATTGATAAAGTGTGGGTAGGGATCTGAAAGTTGGAAGACTTATTCACTGACTGCCTTTCAAAAGACGAAACCGCTGGACACGAAGGCCCCTTCGTGGATGAAGAATCCGATACAAGCGAGGCACGAAATTGGTCACTGCTATAGAAAGAAGAAGAAGATCACTTCTCACTTCTTCCTTGTTAAACCCGAAAAATGAATGAATTAATTACATTCTGAAAAGAGTCCGTAATGAAATTTCAAAAGAAGAAATCACTTCTGATGAAGACCTCTTCGTTGATGAAGAATCCGATACGTACAAGGGATGAAATCGATCAATGATATAGAAATACAACTTCTTCGTCATGGAATTCGAAAAATGAACGATGTAATTATTTCCTGATACAGAATGATAAAAAGAAGATAAAGACGTCTCCTACGAAGCCGACAACGAAGACCCATATGAACGACATCGTGGGCGACTTCGAAAGATTAAAGATTTGGCCACTAGCGCACCCACAGCAAGTCTCGAAGCAGATCCGGCACACGAAGAAGGCACCTGTATCTTCGGAGTTCCCTGTAGTCGCGAGCGGGGCTCTCGCGTCTAGCGTCGTTGCAACGTTGCCGCATCTCGTCGCCGGAACCGTCGAAGCGATTTAAGAAGGAACCGCGAGAGGTACCGGCTTCAGTTTGACGGCAGCAGCTTTCGCGCTCGTAAGGTGCGCCAGAGCTTCGTGTTTCGCGTCGACCAGACGGACCCGAATAGAGTCGAAGAGAGTGGTGTGTTGTGGATGATATCTGAGCGATCGACGAGAAAGGACTGTTTCGAATTTTGTTTCGTACATTTTGAACGTTTCGGTATTTTGAAAAATAAAAAACGCGGGTCAAAATGGACAACGACAGTTTCGTCCCAGATAACGTAAGTCGGACTGGACGCGAATCAACAGAAATTAAATAGTAAAATAAGAAAATAAACTAAAGAATAAGGAAATTAAATTACTCAAACAACGCTAATGTAATCTGTTGAAAATTAAAAATAAATGAGAAACTTTTAAGCGAGCAGCTTACTTTTTGTCTCTGATATTATAGCGAACTCCACTTTGCGATGGAGGCGAGACATTTTTGGCAAATATTCATATATTGCCTGCATGTGGGACAAAATAAACAATCAAAAAAACAAAAATAATCACAAAAAAAAAACAGAAATCAAAATTAAAGATTAGTTAAAAAACATTCGAGATTAACCTGAGGAAATTACAATTAATACGTAACCCAATATTCACCAAGAGTTAAAAATTGGAAATATATATATTATATTATTATTATTAGAACGCTGGGATCGTCGTTCTGACCGTGAAATTGCTTAAATCCGAAAAATCAACCAAGCTCCGGAGGTAATTTTGTCCCACTTAAACCGCTTCTTCAGATGGTAAATAAGTTAATAAGTTAAGTTAATACCGCAAAAGTGTTTCAAATTAAATAAAATTACAAACAACTACGTTTTATTGCACGCCGCAACACAGATTTGCCTCAGTTTCGATTCGAAACTATAGCGTAGAGCAATATCAACGGGCGATAAAGTCGGTAACCCGGAGATTTTAACGGTGGCCAGGCGATTAACCTGAACGAAATCAATCTTGAAATAAATCTTAAAAGGACAGATCGAAATGTCAATACGAACGAAAATTATATTTTTAAATTGGTTTATTTATATGATCAATGGAATTTTATATAACAGTGGATATTATATAGCAGACATAAATAAGGAAATTTTGAGCTAGTAGACCATTTTTTCCCTCTGATATGCCCGTAGTGCAAAACAAAGCACAAGAAAACCGAAGAAAAACTAGCCGAAATGAAAATTGAAGATTAGTTTTTAGGGTAACTAAGTGCACTTAATTTTCGGCGAAAGTTAAAAATTTAAAATACCATTATGTTTATATTTTCTGTTTTTTATAATTATGATGATGTTGTGATCGCTAACTTATTGTTGTCCCACTTATACCAACGATAAAGAGTCTTATTCAGGGACAACGGAGGCTCAGGCTCAGTCTAAGAAACGATACAAGTTATTTTCAGAAGATAAGCGTCTATATCTAAAATTCTGCGACGGAAATAGTTTATGAATTATTTTTTAATGGTGTAGCAGGCGACTAACCTTAAAGCAACGAATCTTAAACATCATTTTAAAAGAAAACAACGGAATTTCAAAGCGAACGAATTAATTTACTTCATTATAGAAAAGAGAGTATTATATACTAGTTCGACGAACTTGTTTCTTGTTAGCAAAACCAATTTAAGGGAATGAATTCAAAAGAGCGACAATGCCAGCCGCCGTCTTACTCTCGCCAGGAACTTAGTGGTCTCATTAATCATCTGAGTCGATTAACTCCTTGACTGAAACTGAAAGAATTTCTCTTATAAATCAAGGCAACTCGACTTTTCCCATCGTGTCTCTCACGAACGCCATCTTCTCTGACTGATACTTCTTTAATTTAGCTCAATACCGATATTATGGGCAGGGCTCAAACGTAGAAGATACTTTTTTTTTCACACTACAGGGCGTCCGGAAATGATGGGCAACAAACTTAAGGGCCGTTATTCATTTCCATGCACTGCCGGTGCCCATTAATGTTAGGTTACTTTTATCCAAACGTGTTTATAATTTTAATTTTTAGCTGGTAGTACATGCTTTTAAGGTTTTTGCCGTAACCAAGTTCTTCAAAGCATTGCCAAAATCTACTGTTACTGTTTTAATAAACCTCAGGGGTTTGAAGAGCATGCTATCATAATTATGAACAAAAATTAATGGACATTAATTTATTGCATGGAAATGTAAAACGGCAATTTTTATGGAAACGTTTTATTACAATGTGGTATAACAGGAGCGTATATTCCAAAGCTTTTTTAATGACCTCTAATTGTGTGCTTTTAACATTTGCACAAATCTTCAAAACAAAAAGTTTGAGGACATTTTCTGAATGCTTTCCCTAACATTTAGAGTTTTAAGTCAAATTTAGTAAAGAAATACAAAACGACATTGGCAATAATTTCTCTAAATTTAAATTTAATTAGTAAAACTGGTAAAAAATTATAAATTTTTCACTAAATTAAAATTTAAAACTAACCCAAACTGTGTATGCGGAGTATGCTTCAACTATTTATAAACAAAAATTAATGGACATTAAATTATTGCACGGAAATGTAAAACGGCAATTCTCTTGAAAACGTTTTATTTCAATGTGGTATAACAGGAGCGTATATTTTAAAACTTTTTTAATGACCTCTAATTATGAGCTTTTAACATTTGTACAAATCTTAAAAACAAAAAGTTAGAGGACATTTTCTTAGGGCTTACATAAAATCAAATTTAGTGTAAAAATACTAAAAGATATTAGCTATAAGTGTGGTAAATTTAAATTTAATTGGAAAACTAGGAGGGAGTTATTAATCTTTTACTAGATTTGAAAATCTTTTGACACCCTGCAATTCCGTTATTTTCGAGGTTTCGAAAAAATACGATAAGGACCTTAATATTCATTTCTAGAGGATTCAGCTTTGGTTCGTTGTTTCCGGACGTCCCTTATAATTTATTTTCATTATTATTAATATTGATAACATTGAATATCACGAAATTTTTTTGCACACTGCACCGGAGATTAAAATTAGAACACGGCGTTCCCACGACGTCGTTACTCTTGCGACAGTTCATAACGAGAGAATGCATGGCATTCCCCCTACCCCTCTCCAAGGAAAAATTACCATTGGTTCACACGAGAGGCGCAAAACTCAAGGTCGTTCGGCGTGCGTCCGAAAAAATAAAAAATTAAATTCCGACGGACCGACCGAAAATATTCGAAAGTGACATTGCGCGACATGGCGGGCATTTTGTTAATTTACTAATTAACGGCGATAACGGGTTTTAAATGGCGGCGAGACATTTCCCGAACAGGAAGCGCCCGATTGCGCGAAAAACAAAGGCCACCGGCCGCAGCGAACCCCACCCCCCTATAAACCTAAAAAGTATATCGCATTAATTAATTACGACCAATTATTAAGTAAGCGATCTTGTAATAATTCCGATAACGGTTATGCTAGCGTGCTGATAAATTTCAATGCTTTCTTTTTCTTTTTTAATTCGCCGTATTCACGAATATAATTTTTTTAATATAGAGTGCTTCAAAAACATGCGCTAATACTCGGCATCAAAAACAAAGAAAACTGTGGTGTTCAATCCTTACGTCATAGCCTGTAATTAAGCTGACGGAGGTCATTTTCACCATTATATTAAGTCTTTATTATGTTCAAAATCATAAAATACGTTTTGTCAATTTTTATGATACTTGTGACCCGAAAACAACTCAAGAGCCAAATAAGAAACTCATACGAAAATTACGAAATTTTGCTTCCGAAGTAGTTTAATTGAATTGCAAAATCTCCAATGAACGGACAATCTTATCGCATATATCTTCTCGGTGTTTCACCAATTTTGCACATTATCCTATTGAAATTCGGAAGAAAAACTAAATAGACGGTAAGCGTATCGCCAGTTCGATAATATTTGACTCTGAGAATGAGTGTGAGAATAAGCATACTTATAAGCAGAAACTGTGATGTACGTAGAAAGTCAGATCTAAAAGTGTAGGGCTGAATAGTGATATTATCTAAAAAATAGAAAAACAATTCATGTATTTATTTACATCAATAATAATTCATGTATTTATTGATGTAATTAAACCGATGTTGATCATTTGCAACATCTTCTTTGATGTTAATTTTAAAAAACTAAGTTTATTGCGACCAAAGGGTCGAAGAGGCAAGATACTTAAAACTGAAGTCAAAGTAAAAAAAGTTGCACTTTTTGCGGCTTATTCAAATAAAAATTACAAAGTCAGTGGCGCACACCTTTTTGACAACACTATTCGTTAGGGTATCTCCCGAGAGGGCATTGGATTCCACAATTTTATTCTAGTTGAAGCAAAATTATCCCTTTGTTATTATAAATACCGTAGCCAAATTCCAAAAAAATCGGACACAAATGATTAATATATTGCGTGTTTTTTTTATATTTAATACCCAGTTTCTTGAAGCCTTATAATTTTAAAACCACAGAGTTGTTTAGTGTACTAAACTGTAAAAAATATGTGAGATCTAAAACAATATTGTATGGGGTGTCCCCACAAAAGCAATGTTTTTCGAGCTCCACAGTTTTTGTATTAAATTGTGAAGATAATGCGGTTTTATAAAATTCAAAACAATAGCGCACAAAGGTATCCACCAAGCAATGTTTGTTGTGGATTGAAACATAATTATTATAATATATTAATAATATATATTATTATATTATATTAATAATAATAATATATTAATAATAATATATTATAAAAAAAGTTAATGGAAACTTGTCTTCATAAAAACAGCAGAGGATTCACAGCCTCAACCATCGGCACTCAATATAAAAAACACGGGGTGATTAACATATTAGACGTATGTCAAGAACGACTTATTTTAATATTCTGAATTATGGTATGAGTATATCTGAGTAGCTAGAGCACCTTTTAAAAATATTTTAGAATATACAGGGTGGATCACGTAGTCGAAGTCAATAGCAGGTTTGCTATTTTAAATGGAACACTCTGTATGTCATTGCATATTTGGACTTATAGCTAAAAATAGAAAGACTGACGTATTTTCTAGAAAAATACGTTATTATTGATCCGTTTTTTGGCCGTATTCGTGGAAAATCCTTCGATCCTTCGATAGGCGCGGCAACAGTACACGCGGTCATTTTTTTTCCTCGTCTCTTCGAAGTTGGCCGAACCCGGCTTTCTTTAAACGGCAAGACACGCAATAATAATTACAGCCCGGTGACATTTCAGAAAAAGCGCAGCAAATATGCCGGCCATTCATAATTGGGCA